ACAAGAAATGTATAAAATTACAGTACTGTATTAGACTTACGGTACCTAATTTACATACTGACAGACGATAGTTAGCGTAAAAATCTCCGTAGCGTGGCGCCACGCTAGACGGCGGAAATTATATATTTAATTATAACAAAGTTACAATAAGTTAATATATAATTATATATACAGTACCTAATTTATATATAATTAATATATAATTATATGTACAGTACCTAATTTATATATAATTTATATAATACTGTCCAGACGATAGAAATCTCTCCGTAGCGTGGCGCTACGGACGGCGGGAAAGTAGTTCGGCTTCCCGATGACGTTTGAGGTGTTTATAGGGAACTTTTACTATTTTTTACGGATACCGGTAGCAATTTTTTCGTAGTTTTATAGGAATCGTAACTATAGGGACCGTAATTATAGGGGGGTCGACTGTATTTGTATGAGGTCTTCAAGTCTATGTTCACCTGTTTCTTTTTATTTTTCTGACTCTGTTATATATAATAGGGCAAATATGGTGGTCTGTCAAAAAATGACCCCCCAAGACTTTTTCATTTTTGGACACGTGACCTTGAAATGTCGAGAAATGCAAAAAATTCGGTTTTTTCTGTACCTATGGATGTTAGTGCATGTGTTGTACACAATTTTGTTCATCCTCTTTGAAGCTTAATAACTCTTATGCTTTTTGTCGAAAGTTTCTGGAATTTTTCAGGGAGGTTTGTGTATTAGGGTAATTAATGCTATTAAATTTTAGTGGTTAAAGGTTGATGGAGTGGGGAGATAAAAGGGTGTTGTGTGTATCTGCAGTAGGATCTGACTTAATGGTGATTTTACTCGTTATTAGCATTTAAAACTTTTTCTAAACCCATTTAAGCTTTTTAAGCCAGATTAAGCATTTTGCCATTTTATACTAATTAAAAATTTAAAAGTTTTTTAAAAATAAAATATGATAACAGATGGCGCAAGCAAAATTTTAAACGTTGCTGGGAAAGTTGGGCAGCTCGTTGCTAGTTTATTTAATGAATAATTCCGAATAACATATCTGATCATAAAGTTTAAACAGTATTTTACGTGTTTTGTCAAAATTTTTGTTTTTATTCTATCGAAAAAAGATCAAAATGAAAAAAAGTCACCCCAAAAAATTCCCCAAATTTTTTGCCCTTCGATGAAAAATCCCAGCCTGGAAACGCTGGCGAACTTGCACGAAAGCTGCCTTCTGTTTTCAACGTCACTCCCTACTTTTCAGTGTTGTAATTGTGTGAATAGGTATTTTACTTACATATTATTAAACGTTTAAAAATAAGCATCCATTTCCGAAATTTTAGAATGTTCGACTACGAGCGCTGTGCGAAAGTAGCAAATATAGTGTTGCTGATAAATCAGCTTTAATACAGCCTGGTAATTGAATCAATGACAGTCTGTTTCAAATGAAACAGGATATTTTATTAGATTGCTTTCCCGGCTGTATTAAAGCCACTTTATCAAGCAACACGTGTTATATCAAGACTCTTGAGAAAGACATCCGTATGGCCGAGCGGTCAAGTTGGTAGCTTACCAATTTGGGAGACCTGGGATCAAATCCGGACGGGTGGAATAATCTCCAGGAATTTTTCGGGGGTGGTCCGACCGGATATGTCTGCTTCATGTCCCTCAACATCCGGCCATCCCATTCTGGGCCTGGCCGAACCCATAATGAGCTTGCTAAAATGAGGCCTTTTTAGTGCCCACAGAGCGGAAGAGTTAAAAAGACTTTTGAGAAATATACAGTATACCATAATTTTGGCATTTCTAATTTTTGCAGTTTGACTGTAAATTTAATATCATTATATTCGTTATTAAAATTATCAAATGGACTACGCTTAATGGTTTACACATTTTAATTATAATTTCACTGTTATTAAAAAATATATATACGTCTTATGTCGATTTGAATAACCAGGGGTCGCTGTTTATTTGTGGAATGGCGGGAGAAGAAAGCGTGGTGTAAAGTATGGGTGCCGTACAATATATAGAAGTTCAGCCTTATCCCGAAAGTTATGGGGGCGAAAAAGATTTGACAGTAAATGCGGGTAAGCTAAAGAATAAAATCAATCTTAAAATAATTTATAAAATTAATAGTTTACAAAAACCGTTAAGTCTGAAAAGTCTTAATATAGAAATGGAGAATTTAAACGAGTGCATTTTTTAAGATCACAAAAGTCTTAAAAGTCACGGAAAGGGAGAGGGGGAAATGTACCTTTTGATAAATCTTGGCAAAATACCGACATCTCGCTACATCCACCTGACGAGATATAACCCTTTCAAATTTAGTCATGCCTGACATATTCAGTATATTAGATTAGAAGTCTGATAACTGAAGAACAAAGGTTTTTATCACGTTGCTGGAGGTTGTTTTTGTTTCGAATATTTAAATCTAAATTTAAAAGCTATACAGCAGCTATGTTTAAATTGTTGGTAAAATTCAAGCTCTGAATGAGCTTGTATTTTACCAACTTGAACCAACAAAGAAACCATACTTGTACTGTACATGCAACCCTTCACAAGATATTCTTCTCCAAAGGTCATTTTAATGTGTATTGGTATACTGCCTACTCTCCACACACTACAAGTTGCTCACTATTGCTTGCACCTCAGCACCTGGGTGGGAGTGAGCTCTCGTACTCCATAAAAGTATAGAACATCATGTACTCCAAGAACAGTCAAGTGGATTACTCGAAACCGGCATAGTCACTTGGGCTAAATAGTTAAATGTGATAGTCTTAGTGGAGCGACGTGACTTGTGATCTCGAGTGACCTGATTTTGGGAGGTTGTTCTCGTGAAGGGTTACTTATGAAAGTATGATTCCTTACACTTTTTTGCTTCTATAGGTATGCTCTACGGCTCTAATAAGATCTCAAATGTCTCATTCAGAGCTTGAAAATTGCTGAAATAGAAAAAAAAAGTAATGATTTTGATCATCTATTTATGTGTTTATATATGCAAAGTTTTTAAAGGCAATATTTATCTAAAATGTTGCATCCAAATACCTGTGTATTTGGAAACAGTTTATTTAGACACTATTAATGCTGATTTAACAGTTTTATTGATGATTTAATGACTGTTTATCATCTCAAGTTAAACCTAGCATAAGATTTAAATAAAAAATTTGGCTAAAATTTGTAATAACCTTGCATCAATTCTAGATTTAATTCCTAACTCTAAATTATAATTTGACTTGCCGATTATGGCAAGTTAATTTTCAAATTATAAGTCAATGCATGTGCTATTTGAATTTGTCATAAAACAACATAGATATATACAATTTGAAAGATTTCTGACTTATTTGAACCAAGTCATACTGTAAGTACTGAAAATGACAACTATGTCATTTGATATTATAATATACTTTTAGTATTTTGTAGGAATTTCTTATTTTAAGGTTTTTTCAAAAAATAACAATTATTTATTATTTTATGTTGTTATTGCCTAGCTAAATATTATATTTGGTTATATTGATCTCTATATTCTTCCAAAGTTCTACTTGTTTTTACAAATTTTTTTATTTTTAATGTATCTGTATTTTGCAAATAGTTCTAACAAAACATCTTTTTGGTATTTATATAATTTTTTTAATTGTTGGGTTCTATAGTACTAAAAATGTATTCAGTTACTGCATAAGGATTTTGTGCAAATATGCAATGGCATTTTAGAACAAATTAGAGAGCTTCTAACATAGCTATCCATTTAAATCTAAGGATTTTTAATCAAGTCCAGTATACTCTGGTCTGTATGGAACTGGATCTCTGGTCAGATAAACAAATGGCCAGTTAATTTGAAAATACATGCAAAAGACTATTTATAGGATAATACATAGTTAAAACATTATTTGTCCTGCCCTTTTACTGTGTTTGCGACATGATAGCAAAGTTTCATATGCTGCGTGATATACGTGCACAATTGTTTTGTTTGCATTCTGCACTCTGAACTTCTGTTTGTAAAAAGCAGACAGAAGATTTATTTTAATAAAATTGCAGTGTGATGGCAGCTACTTGAAGCAATTCAAAGTTAACTGATTATACAGAGAGTTGCTAAGCATTACTGAAATAACACTAATGCTGTAATGGTCAGATCTGTTCCATATGAATCTAATGTAGATGAATTCATCAATGACAATATTGTGCTCACTGCACGAGATTTTATCATATGCTCAGCATTCATCTTACTTCTGTTCTCAACTCTGAAGCACAGAAAAATGTTATAAATCAATAAAAGTACTGTATGTAACAACACAACAAATTTCACGGTTAATGCAAATATTTTAATATAATTAGATTGTTTGGAGAAAAAGTTCTTTTACTTGGAAAATTATGTACCAAAACATCTGATATAAGTAAATATTAATATACAGTGTCTTGCAAAATGATGAAAAGCATACTGTTTTGTGGGATAGAAAAAAATTTACTTCTACAATTTTTCTTGATATTTAATAATTTTTAGGGTTTCCATTTGACTTGTGATTTGTTTTATTTTATTTTATTGAAGACAAATTTTACTAATTTATTTATAATCTGATCATTTGTTCAGTTATTTACAGTATGTGTTCTGATTGTTATTCAATCAGCAATGTACTATACCGGGTTAAAGTAAACAAAAAACAAGCTTCTTGGTAAAAAAGCGTTACAAACATTTTCGAACTTGTAAGTTCTTCCTCAGGTAATAGACATCTAAGTGAATGCCATTCAAACTCAATTCAAATAAGAACACCATTAAGAATTCTATCGCACGTACGAGATCGATATGTGCGATACGTGCAATAGAATTCTTAATGGTGTTCTTATTTGAATTGAATTTGAATGGCATTCACTTAGACGTCTGTTACCTGAGGAAGAACTTACAAGTTCGAAAACATTTGTAACGCTTTTTTACCAAGGAGCACACTGGCAACAGGTTCCTGGTACGTTGTTTTTTGATTGTTATTCTATTGATATGAGCAAGCCAGTAGCTCGAGTGTTTGGCATGTTCATTCAGAAAATTATAATGCTAGGAATTTTATAAAATTATACATTTTTATGTATAGACAAATTTGAATTACATCTGACCATTACAGTCTACCATCATAACATAAGGAATCACAATGTTAGACTATGATGTTCATAATCTAACATATGATTGCAAGCCTGACTGTAAACGTCACACTTAGCATGTGTGATGTTTACAGTTAGGCTTGTAATCATAGTCACAAACTCGGCAGCACCAAAACTGCACAGATTTATTACTTATACTTAGGGCTTTGCTGTGTCGCATGAAACTTCTCCGTAGGGCATCTTTTTTATCTCACAACATACTTGAACCTATAATTAAATTTCCACAGAAAAATCAAGTGATTTAAAGCTGTTTGTAAACATTATATTGCCATATTAGTTGCCACTTAACCAAATTCTTTTTGTCCATATTTTTTATGAATTAAATAAAACAGTATTGTTCTTTAAAATAGTAGCAGGTTACAACAACATATACTGTGTGGTATGGGTGCTGTATAATGTTGATTGATTCAAAAATCACTTTAATCCTAATAGGTTGATTTTTCACACAGCTAGTCCAAGTTAAGTGAGACAAGACTTTATTACATTAAACTTTTTAATCATATTTTTACATCAAATGCATTTCAGGCTAATATAACTTTATAGCCCCTCTTCAGTGCTATTAAGAACAAGAGTAAAATAATAAGTCATGACATTATTGTAATAAACTATAATATTTTACATAACACAATTTGCATATTTACTTACATGCATGAGAACATAGAAACAATTTGAAACCCAGAATCCACTTTTCAATAAATTATTAGTATAAATACATCAAACTAGTATGACATCATATGATTACGCATTAGTAACAATTTTAAAACCTTAAAAATTAAAATTGACTAAATTAATCCATACATGTACAATTTGGATGAAAATTTCATACAATTCTTAAAATAATACAACAAAATTCAATCTTTATTACAAAAATTGCTTTAGTATTCACTAATTCCAGTTTCTATACAGAGGTTACGAAGGTGTTTATAAAAACAATTTGGCTTGTAAAAGTACATTGTAAGTGTTGTATAATTATATAATACATTTATCACCTATATCAATGGAACAGTTAAATGTTACTTACTATATTTAATAATAAGATATTCACACATTGCAACACCTATAATTAAAGGTTCGTGACAACATTAAAAACCTAGATAATATTAACACAAGCAAATAGGTAAAAGAAGCTGTTGAGCAAGTATAATCATAGGATGTCATACTGATTTGCTGTATTTATACTGATAACACAGGTCAACAAAAAAAAATTTTTTTTTTTTGGTGCCTAGGATTTTAGAACTGATTTTAGCTATATTTGGGTTGCTGAATCCAAATATGAAATCAGTTTTTCTCTATCAGCTCTACTTTTTTAGTATCAGGTCTGTAAAACTTGTACAGAACATTTACAACAGTGGACTACTAGAAAAAGAAAAAGTCTGAAATATGGCATAGTGATGGTTTGGATTGAACCCAAAAATCACTTCGATGACTGTTATTTCTGCCTAGTAAATATTAGTGGAATCAATCGTAACAACCGTAGCAAGTGGACTTATCCTGATTTAGTCTCTGCAAGACGCCCGGTCCCTCACTCACAGGAAGTGCCAGTTCCATCATTTCACCAGTTACAAGAGCACTGTATGTAACAACACAACAAATTTCACGGTTAATGCAAATATTTTAATATAATTAGATTGTTTGGAGAAAAAGTTCTTTTACTTGGAAAATTATGTACCAAAACATCTGATATAAGTAAATATTAATATACAGTGTCTTGCAAAATGATGAAAAGCATACTGTTTTGTGGGATAGAAAAAAATTTACTTCTACAATTTTTCTTGATATTTAATAATTTTTAGGGTTTCCATTTGACTTGTGATTTGTTTTATTTTATTTTATTGAAGACAAATTTTACTAATTTATTTATAATCTGATCATTTGTTCAGTTATTTACAGTATGTGTTCTGATTGTTATTCAATCAGCAATGTACTATACCGGGTTAAAGTAAAC